CTTACAGGGTAATGGTTCTGCTTTTACAAATCTCCAACTCCAAAGGGAGGGATTTCTTGGAGTCAGACCTCCTCCTTCTCCTGCACATTTGAACTCAAGATACAACCTAAGGGGGGAAAAATGGGTGGGCTAGAAGTTTGACCTGGTGTCCCTTTAGTTAAGGGACTCAACTGTCATGCTGTAGAACTGTAGAATTTCTGAGCAGAAAGAGACTTTCAGGTTGGCTCATCGGGATCCCAGGTTCTAAGTTTCTTCCACTTTCCTCCAAGCGGTGTGTGCAGCCTCCACCACCACAGCAGGAAAGGAGCAATGAGAATTATTAAGGAAACAGCTACCCAACCAACAGGTACTCTACAAGAGATGCCCTCGGGGAGAAAGGGACTCTGGGGCTCCAACTGACAGGACCTAGGGAGATGGTGCTCAGAAACATCACCACTCAACACCACACATGCTGAGTGGAGGAGGAGAGCCTGGGATTTTATCCTCATGCAAAACACATATTCCTAAGCATTTAGAAGGCTGGTTTTGGGTGGTGGTGTTTGTTTTCGAAGCGGGGTCTTGCTGTGGAGCCCGGGGTTAACTTTAACACTGCAATCCTCCATCTCCTTCCTAAGCATGCATTGCCATGTCTGGCCTGGAAAGGTCACTCTCAAAAAGAAATATTTAAGAACATTTTTAGATTTTAAACATAGCCTATTTATGGGTAAGTGAAACACTTAAAATAATCATTATCAGTTACCTTACACCTGATACTTTGGATGTGGCTCTTAAAAATGTTTTTAAATTCGGTAGCATTTTCACCAAACAAAATAAGGAAATAGAATATGTATTTTAAGACCATATACATATGTAGGGATGAAAGGTACAATGGTAATAAACACGCTTTGTGACTTTACGTGCGAAGGAGGTTTATGTATGAGAAATGAAAGGAAAAAGATTAATAGGACAAAAGACACCAGGTAGGAACTGAGTTTGGGGCAGTAAAAATGTTTGGGACAGTGAAGGTCGTGTAGGAGTGAAGGGACACTCATGCAGGTGTCTTATAGAAGTGAATGCAGGGGCTGGAGACATGGCTCAGTGGCCTAATCTCCAAGGGCACCAGGCACTCAAGTGGTGCGAAGACATAGGAAGAGGACATTTAAGATGTAACCAGGTAAAGGTCAGTGACCACATGAATTAGAGCCCAGAGTTTAAGGGCAGGTAGACTGGGTCAAAGACTCTGGAAAATCCTGTATATGGACTCAGAGTTTGGGCCTGCTTAGGCAGGCAGTAAAGACTGCTTACTGTTTCTGAGCAAAACCAGCATGGGAAGACTTCAGTGTACCAGAATGTGCATGAGAGGCGAAGACAGCAACAGCAAGGAGTCTGCTGCAGAAGCCTAGTTAATAGACTACTTCCAGAACTAGGGTGGTGGCTGGGGCAACGGAAAGAAAGACTGTAGTAGTTAGGCATTCTTCAACAGTGTCTGATGGACAGAGGAGTGGAACAGTCTCCCTGAGCTGCTTAGAGGCCCCCTACATGTATCTAGAAAAGCCTGTGGTCACATGAAAACATGAAGTATTTATGGGGGTATAATTTAGTGTTGACAGTGGCTAAAAAGGGAGTTTTGAGGCCTTGAATGACTCTGTACCCATCTTAAATCCATGCCTTTGCATCAGAATGGTGCCCTAAACTACCCTTAACAGGAAATACCCTTTGTAAAAACTGCTTATAAAGAGGGGAAAATATCAAACCATATAGTCATCACTTGAAGTACTTCACACTTTATCCATATACCTAGTCACTCCCTTTTCTACTCATTCTTCATTTTCCCAAAGCACACTCTGATGCTGGGCTTACCAAGACAGGTCATCTACCCACTACCCTTATAGGACGTTACCTCTCCACCTTCGTAATCCCATCGCTCTGAGCTCAGTTAGCGGCAAGAGGGAGGTCCACATCTTACACGACTTAAAAATAGACACTAGTTGGATAAGATATGGGTGCTGTGGAAACCCAGCCAGGGAGCAGATGAACGCTGCCCAGAAAATGTCCTCCATCAAATGAGACACAATCCAGAGCCCAGCTGGGAATTCCATTGCTGCTTTGGGTTTAGGACTGTTTATTTTTGCTTCTTGGCTTGGATCTTTCATTCCTGTCCTTGTCTCTTCTTGTGTCTCCTCCCTTTTTCCTCTCTCTCTATCTTGGCAGTTAGAACCCTATTCTGTGTATGCCCATGCCCCAGCTCCTAATACCAACATCTAAAAATACATCTTGCTACAAACAGCCTCGTCTCCTGCAGGTGGCACATTTAAAAGCTGACACCAAAGCAACATATCCTATCACCACTGTCCTTTGATGCACTTAGCCTGTATATTAGAGACTCAGAAATAAAGTAACCACAATTTACAGGGAGAAAAAAAAATAATACACATGAGTGACTCTTTCAAGTGGCATTTTCCAGCTTAGTTTTTGTTCGGGGCTTATATAATCAGACATAATTGTCTGCACATGTTTGTTATACTATCTCAGAAATGATTTCCAGAGTGCCAGATGATGTCAAAGGGTCAATATTGGGCATCTCCTTCCTCTGGCCCCACCTAGCCCTACTTATTACAGTACCACAGTTTGGGGGGAAAAGATGCCAAAAAAGAAACTGTCAGACCCATCCCGTAGTGAGTCATAAGGACTTCCTTCAGTTTGTTTTTTGCGCATATCTGTATTTTTGTTCCCACACTTTATCCATTCTTCATATTCTCCTCTTTCACGAATGCACAAAATTATTTCTGGAATAGTCTAACACCTCACAAACATTCAGTGATGGCCAGGTGCATGTGCCCTTAATGCCACAGACACCCAGCTCCTGCCTTCACTTGGACTCTCTTTGAGAACACATGTACTACATCGAACCCTGTGCTCCCCTAGGCAGGGCTTCCCAGCAAGGTGCCACCAACACAATGATAACAATGACTTCTGCTATCACAGCACAAAATGGGAAGAATCCCTTCTCCGAACTTTTCTAGACAATGACATGACTGTTGGCAGTTCAACAAGACAGGCTGGCCTTTCCTTTCTTTCCAGAGAGTGATCAATAGTTAGAATATTGAACTTGGAAGAGATTCTGCCTGAAGGTAGAAGAAAGAATACTTGGTGGGTGGTGGTGGTACACACCTTTAATCTCAGCACTTTGGATGGCAGAGGTAGGTGGATCTCTGTGAGTTCAAAGTCAGCCTGGTCTACAAAATAAGTTTCAGGACAGCTAGGACTGTTACATAGAGAAACCCAGTCTAGAAATACCCACCTCCAAAAGAATTCTTAACTGTAAGCAATAACATTTATCACTTACCACCCCCCCATTACTACCTAACGACCGGCTCCCTTCTACCATATCCTTACCAAGGTGCTAGCTAAGCCATGTATGTGGCTCTCTAGTGATGGGAGACCTTGACTGTTAACAAAGGCCAGTATATATCCAGAATCCACTTCTCTAATGCTTCTACTCAGTAAACTTATCCTGTCCCATTTAGACCATTCCTGATGAAGCCAATCTCTCTGTGAGAGCAGTATTAAATTTTTATGTATCACCCACACTTGCTCTTTTATAGGATAAGAATTCCTCTTCTTTATGTGTGTGTAGTTCAAGTATGTGCTGGTGTGGGTGTGTGCATGGGTGCACTTGGGTTTGTGTACATATGTTGTATGTGGATGTTGAGGTAAAAAGTTGATTTCTCTTCATTTTGTTTAAGACTGGGTCTCTCTCACTAGGCTATCTCGCTAAAGAGCTCTAGGCATCTCCCTGCCTCTGCTTCCCTAGTGAAGGGTTTAGAGATGCGTTGCCAGATGACTTTTTACATGATTTATTTGAGTCCAACTTAGGTGTTCACGTTTGCATAGCAGGCACTTGACTGATGGAGCTGTATCAGCCCTGCCATTCCTCGTTTTTAAAAGAATTATTCTTCATCTGAGGAAATAGCTTCTCTTCTCTTGATTCCTTCCAGATCTGCCATAATTGGGTAGGACAAGACTCAACGCCGAGTTGAAGGGGCCATCCCCTATGTCCTCGTGGACATTATGCCTCAATTAGAATAGACTGAGATCACATTATTAGATCATGACTACATTGCCTTCCTTCCACTCCTAACTTACTTTAATCATAACAGCAACAAACAATAACAATGACCCCCATCAACCAACCACAGCTCTGCTTCCTTTCAGCAGTTCCAAGACAATCACCCCACTGGAGCCTCCTGTGACCTCTAAACGCCTGGAGATCACCACTGATTTAAGAACAACCTCCTTTTCCAGGCTTCCCTCGTGTCCCAGCTTGCTGTCATCGCTGCTGAGATAGCAGACGATTGATCTGAGAAATCAAGTTGGATTGCTGTCCCAAATCTACACTCGGTTCTCCTTGTGTCTGTCTGATCGATTTCACTCTGTGCGACATAGCTTGTCGCTATGAATTTTCATGCTAGTCAGGATCCGCCAGCGCACCCAAGAAAAAGTGGAAGATGGTCACACCCCCTCCCTGTCCCTTCAACATACTAGGCCTCGGTGTCGATTTTTAAAAATCATCTATTGGGCACATTTGGAAAAAGAAAAGAAAAAAAAGGTGTGTTATTTTTACGGCCACAGACAGACCTGGATGCAATGGATTTGGGCCACTGGTTTTCCTCTCCAGGTGCCCTGGTCCCAGCCTGTGGTGACATTTCCTACCACTGTTGTACTAGGTGTCACCTGTTTAGCAGCTCCTTTCAGCTGCACGCATGTGGCCGCAGGTGCCACGCAAACACTGATTGTGTCTGACAGCCCTAGACGCCAGCTGCCTGCATGAAGACTGCCCGATCACCACTTTCTTTCATGGCAAGGGCGCTGCCGATGGCATGACCGATACAGCAACAAGAAACTAGGTGACTGGAAAGCTAAGACAAGTCCTACTAAGTGGCATTCTGGGCCCTGTGGCTTTGAAATAATTGGCAGTGATAGAATAGAAACGAAGGGTTCGGGGAGCCTTGTTTGCTTACACTGATGCCCTGCGGACTGTACATCTGACTGGCTGCGAGTCCGTCACTGTATCCTCCTGTCTGGCTGATAACATGGCGAAGGGTATCCACCTAGACAGAGGGACAACAACAGAGAGGCAATTAGTCGGAGACAGGGAGACGAATGTGGCGCATCATCGTCTTACAGGCTACCGATGTGGCATGCCACATTAAAGCAATCATTATAGAGACACTCTTCCTGGGGGACAGTCCATGAGGAAGAGGCTGGGACACTCCCCTCATGCCAAATCCATCCTTACTTCTGAGATCAGTAAAACAGGAAAAGAAAACTTGGGTTCCCCAAAACTGAGACAGATTGCATAATGCTATGTGAGGTGACAGGGACTATGGTGCTGGGGGGGGGGTGAAGAGGACAGAGATGCTTCTCTCCCCCTGTCATTCCCCCCCCCCCCACTTTTCTTCCCTATAGACTGTCCCATGCAACTTGTAGGAGAGCCAAGGTTCCTCTTAGCCTTAGGCATCCATGACACGGAGAGGAGACTGGGATAAAGACCCAGTTGTTGTTTTTTTTTTTTTTTTGGCAAGGATTTATATGATGGTAAGTCACTTAGTCACATGACCAAAGTCTGCCTGTATCACCTCAAATTTGTTTCCAAGCAACGTTTCCTGAGCAAGGGGCTGAGTCACCAGCCAGCTGTCTATTCCAGACTTGTAGGCTTTCTGTTCCATGTGTTGGATAGGACACATGGGTAGACGTGGCTCATATCTTTTCAAGTCATTGTGATCCAAAACATACGACTTTACCCTCTCACATGACACTTCATGCTGAGATAGCAGGATGGCTTCCTGAAATGTCTGTCTTGAAGGCGGAGGGTTTTACTAAGAAGCACTGAGGTTTTACACATGACCCATTTTTGGTTCCCAGTGTGGTTTTATCAGTCCATTGACCTCAAGGGTGACTACGCATATGTGTTTTATCAAGCTGGCTTGGAAATTTAAAATGAAAACAGGAGACACTAAGGCATTTGCCTGATCGCTGATGACTTCTTTATGTTAACAAATCCTGAAGATGGGAAAGCAACAGATGAGAGGGAGATTCGGGAGAGGGAACGGGCTGAAATTCCTTTTCCGTTGAAGAACAATGAAGATGCGGGTTCTACCTGCCTCACAGTTCTTCTTCGCCTCACTCTGTACTTCTTCCTTCCCTGCCCTCCTAGTGTGACTGTCAAGCCACAGCCAAATACACTCACAAAGCATGGACACGATCCCCTACGAGAATGGTTGTATTTTCTGCTTTGTCTTATTTTTATTTTTGGTTTGGCTGCTGTGTATCTGTCTCTCCCTTCCTTCCTTTTTCCTTCTCTCTGTCTGGACAGGAGCAGGAAACTGATACCACTGAAGGCTCTTGGACTCTACTGAATTCACCTGGCGGCATATTGGCTGGGTCCCTACCTGTGATTGCACGTTGGCTCCAACCTGGGCCCCTTGGTAAGAATCCCCATTGAGTGACTGCACGCTCATGAACAAATCTCCAGAGTTTGACATGTTAAAAGAACTGGAAGAACCTGGAAAGGAAAGAGTGAGGTACCTGAATCATAGAAAGGAAAAGGCTCAACCCCGCAACCAACAGCCAAGAGGAGATGACATGCAAAGCAATCCCCCCAAATCAAACATAAGACAAAAACAACATCCACAGAGCCTGGTTAGTAGCATGAAGAACAGAGCAAGCAAGAGGGTGTGCACCGCTGCTGTTACATGAAGCGACCCCTTCTAAAGTTGTCAATAAGATTGCTTTCTGCTAGCAACTTGAAGCTGAGAGAGGAAAGCTGAATTCTTCTAATGTAGTCTACGTAGGATTTCTCCTTCGTGCCTCTCATACTCTAGGGTTGGCCAGAAGGCCAATAAGATGGCAACTATGGTCAACAATATGGGTTGGCCAGTGATATTTCTGCCGCCATAATGGAGCATCAGGACACCTTTTATGGATTCTAAATATGCTTTGCTGAACCCATCGACTCACATCAGGGCAGCACACAGAAGGAGTGTGCATGGAGGCAACATCTCCTGGGATCAATTGACACTCTAGTTTCTAGACATTTCTAGTTTCTAGAAATAAGGTAGACTTCTTTTTTATGTGGCAACAGTCCAGGAAAACCCAAAGATTGCAAGGTTATATGAGACTGGTCTATTCTTCCCATCAGTTGCCAGAATACAGAAAGATGAAGCAGAATACTGGGCCAAAATTTTCAAGCATGCATGAAATGCTTCTAGTATTTTTAAAGTGGGCCTCCAGAAGGAGACGTTAGCATGGGCTTCCACCTCCATCTACAGGCTTCTATGGGGTGAACCTAGCCCAAGCCCACCCTGAACACCAGGGCTTATGAAGCTAATGGGAGCTCTGAAGTCATCGTGCAGTTCAGTTCAGCGCATAGGAAAGGAAGCTCAACGTGCAAGGTTTGGTTAAAAACATGACATTAGCCTGGCAAAGGAGAGACCTCAGGGACCCAGGTCAGTTGCACTCTGTGACTTCTATCCCTGTGCTCCTGCCCTGAGAGTCTTCTGACAGCCACTGCCAATGGGGAGTCACCCAGCAATGAGTCACGTCTCTCTCTTGTCTGGTCTGATACATCCTGTCTCTTCTCCTAAGACAGGGACCTGAGCTCTGTAAGGGAGCTGTCTATCCACAGCTAAGCAGGGGAGAAGGCCTTTCCTTTCCCCCGGAGAACAGCCGCGTAATAGACATGAGTTCTCCTCTCTGTCACAGCACTTGATATATGACTGTCTACCATGTCATCACATGTCAGCAGCAAAAGCCATTTAGAGGAACTAGGTGTTTGTAATCCTGGGAATAACCACCAGTTAAGAACTATCTTCATTTTCCTTACTTCTGAGGAGTATGTATATTCATACAATAAACTGTATCTATATTTCTACATAAACTGATGCTGCCTCTAGCCCTCTTCTCATCCCTGCTTTTCCAAGCAAAGGGAATGCTATCATCATGGTTGAGAGAGGACTTAAATATTAACAAAAGAACTATGTCTCATCTGGCACATATTTCTCTACATGGTTTGTCTAAAAGGAATTAGAAACATTGGATCTTAGTAAAATAGGAATACAATCTCGCCATGTGTGATTTATGTCAGTGGGATGAAGATTTGGCCTGTAACTTCCTTCCATTAGTATGACACATTATATTTGAAACCATATTCCTCAACTATGTAAAAAGCAACATGTATCGTAGATCCCACTGTTGTGCTTGTGTCACATACCAAGCCTTCATCATATGAGTTGTAGCCCCCTCAGATAAAGTTTTTAACCATGGAGACATAGCCTAAGTAATAAAGCCATTGTAATATAAGGGTCTTGTTCAGTGCTCATCAGAACCAAGAACCTATACAATAGCCATACTCATGTCATCACACTTCCCATACTCCTTAGCGCCAGAATACTGAGTCTGAAGCCCGAATATTTTATTTCTCTCCCACTCTCAGACACCATGTAAAAATCACACATGCTATATGCCTGACTAAAGATTTACTAGGAACCAATACACAAAAGTATGCCATGGGAGAAATCCCCAAAGGGCTACATTGATACCAAGGAACATTGCATCCATAGAAGCATTCAGACATGGAGTGTGCCATTTACAAGATATACACTGCAATTGACACAGATGATTTAAAAAAAATATATGTGCATAGATAAATTGTAAATATGTCTGGCTGTGTAATATACACAGGGATAAATATGCGCATACAAATGTACTTCTTGTACACATGCATTTGTATCAGAGCAGTAATTGCAGAAATAGTCCCTTGTGCTCTTGGCTGTGCTGTTTCAGCATTTCATGGTCTCTGTTCACCCATGTATGACAGCCCTGTCATGGCTTCTGACTCTGTTGAGAATCTAGAGGCTGTGATGAGAAGAACAGGTGTGTCTAATTCCACAGGAAAGTCTATGCAAGTATCAAGATATATGTGTAGGGGGGATGTGTTCTTCACCCAGCATTGAAGGCTTAGAAAAATGAATCATTGGATGGAGAGCCTTCTGAGAAGTACATACTTCCCATACAGAAATTGAATGGGCTTTCTTAGAAGTGCTGTGGAATTCCCAAAAAGCAGCTGTGCGCTACCCAATTTGCTGAGAACACCCAGTCACGTTATCTGCAGGGTGCTTTGGGTTAATCAGCAACAACTAGAAGTCATTCAAGATGTGCTTTTCAGTGAGAAAGTTCTAGATTTGGCCTCGGAATGAAGGCAAGTGTACACACACAGATACTTGGGGTATGTACAGAGTGACATCTGCACTTAATTAGACAGAGAAGAAATAAAGGATCATCCAGGATTCTAACTCATTTGCTTGGGTAAACACTATGACATGGAAATGTGTTAACATCCATTTTCATAAGGCAAGTTCCTGAAGATAGTATTTTAACTTCAGATGATCCTTAGGAGTCTAAGCCTTGTTTGGAAAAACAAAACAAACAAACAAAACCCAAATATGCAATAATACCCAGGTAATTTAATAATAAAATATAATAAAACCTAGACCTAGAGCACAGTTTCCCAGTCTTGGCACTACTGACACTTTAGGCTGAACAATTCTTTGCTATGGGGAATATCTTATATCTTGTGGGATGGTTAAGTGGCTCTTCATCTCTATCTATTCATGTCAGTAACACCCTGTAAGATGATGACAATGAAACCATCTCCAGATACTAGTGAATGTCTCCTGGGGTAAATACTGACTCCTAATTGAGAATCAATGACCCACAACAAAGGTACAGTGTGTGTCTTAAGAATCAACTACCTGGCAAATACTGTTTTAATTTCTGTAGTCTAAAAAAAAACTTTCCCATGGATGAGGTGACCAGTCCGATTTAGCCTGACTTCCATGTCACCTGGGAGTAGAGAGGACAGACCTTACTAGATGTAAGCTTAATCATGTCCCATTCTTGCTTCTAAGAAAGCATCTGCCTTTTTCCGAGTCTTCAGTTCATGCTTTTATAATCTTTTGAAACACGGGAAATTGAGAGCTCATCACTTGGGGTTTCCCCAGCTGAGTTATAGGCCAGGTTTTTACAGTTATGTCAGTTGGTCCTCTCCCCACACCCTCTCTCAACTAGATTCCTGTCATTCTTCCCCACTGCTGCATCTGCTTTGCCCACCTCTGCTGGAAGACACAATAAAGTATGAGAAAAGTCTCTCTACACTTGCAAATTCCTCCACACAAGCCAGCTCTAATTTTTATGAAGTGAGGCTACAGAAAAAGAGGCAAAGTCTGCTGAAGAAACAGGGCTATGTAGGTGAGGTCTTGCTAACCACCCTGAAGGGCTATTCCCCCACACAAAAGCCAAGGGAGGGAAGAGGATTTATTTGCAGTACTGTCTTTCTTGCAGTGAAAATGAGTATGTAAACTAAGCAAAGATTCTGGGAGAATTTCCATTTCCATGTTGAGAATATAAAACTGTGCAGGGTGCCAGAATCTGGGACTTCAAACTCTACCAAAATACCTTTTCATATATTAACCTCTTATTTACAATCTCTTTCCATTACCATTTCTCCTTTGAAATTACTAAAGAGCCAGCACACAATGTAATAAACACACTATGTGAAAGTTTAAGCACTTATCCTCCAATTTAGGCCATGATTTAGGCTGTTAAAAGCTGTAGAAAATACAGAATAGCCCATTTATAACTTTTCCTGTTAAGACATTTATCTTTTAAAATTCCATGCTATTGCACATCTACAATAGTGTTTTCTTTGGTCTCTATATTAGAAAGAGAACATTTCAAAGGGTTCCTCTGCAAATTATTTCCAACAACTTAGGCACAACTGGAAGGCTTAGCTCAAGTTTTCCATAATAATGTACTTTGTGCTCAGAATAGTCAGATGAAGTTTAAGCCACCAGAAAATTCTTTAGAAAACTGTAATCAGACTGACATTCTATAAGAGCCAACATAATTCTTAAACACAGAGTGGGGGTTAAAATGCTTACTTTTCTCTTTTTAAGGGCTTTAGGAAAGAAAAATAGTTATGGATTTAGTAATGAAGGGAGCCCACAGGGCCCTTCTAAGGACTAGTCATAAATCATGCTAAGCCATCTGTGGTGCAGATATAGCGGGGACAGGGAATAAAGTCATTTTGATATCTGTTTTGCATTATGATAACCTCTGCAGGAGTGTTGAGTGCATTTTTGCTAATATTGACAGAATTATACTTCTTCCAGAGATAAGTGAGAATGCCTGCCTAGCAGAGAAGTTCACCTTGTGATGCTTGGTATGAAATCTTTAATAATCGACCCGATAGGGAAGGAGGAAACGGTGGCTATTGAACCTGTTAGCCTGGATCTTTTATCAATCACGCCATGACAAGGAAGAATAAAGGCCAACAACAACAACAACAAAATCAACGGAACTTTCAAAAGCAAATGTGTTCTTCAGGGCAGGCCAACCTACATGCCCAAGAAACATAAAACTGGATCAAATTTAACAGTGTCTTATGGTGGCAATGTTTACAAAGCCAAGGGTTCTTCTCATGAATGATTCCAATTAAACAAAAGAAGGCCCTGGTAGTTATAGTCCAGGGGCTTGGAGAACCTCATGATCACAAATTAGTGATGCTCACAGAAGAAAAAGTGAGTGGAGTACTATAGGTCTCCAGTTACAACGGTAGCCTACGGCAGGAAGAACCTCTTTAGGGAACAACTAGACAGTGAGGTTGAAGTCGTGATATACTCATAGAAATCTCAGATTTGCAACCATATTATGATTCCACATATTGAGATTTGCTAGCATATTATTGGGATCATCAGACTTAGAAAGCACCCCACATTCCAAATGCATTTTGTCTGTTAGGTAGAAGGATGACTTCTGGTACTAAACATATTTCAAAAGGAAATGTTTGTTTTCCCTTTATCCCCTTCACTAGAAGTATCACCACATTTTCTACAGCACACAAACATAAAGGTTATACCTCATATATTACTGACTTTTTATTGGCATCATGGAAATACAGAAATGACAGCACAAGACATTTCCCAAAATGTACTTCTATTTCAGTCTAAAGTCTGAATTTAGTGGACAATGCATGTTAGTGAAAATAAAACCTAGAACTAGAGTGCATGATTGAGATTATAATATGAACCCTGGAGTCTGGAAGGTCTGAATCAACAGCTTGTGATTTTCCTCATAGTTTACATAAATAAAACCAATAAAATAAAGCAATAGAGAACAGTATCTCTAAATAGCGCCTAGAAAATATTGCAGCCTGGCTCTGGCTAATGAGATCTTAGTTAGAAGAGTGAACACTCCTTCACAGAATGTATACCAGCAGATGACCCAGACATTATACTATGGGGACAGTAAGATAAACGAGGATGAAAATATTATATGAGAACCCAAAGGAATCATCTCCAAGTATCAAGTTTTATCTGTGAGTTTAGAGGACTCATTAAAATCAAACAGTGTACCTCCATTTTAAGATAAACAGATACATTACAACACAAACTTACACATAGTCCCATCTTATAAACATATCGCCCTTTGGATATGACAAGAACCCAAAAGTGTCACTAACAACAAATGCTAATTGGATGTATAAATCAATGAACCAAAAACTGTAAGAATTAAAATAAAATCTCAAAGTTGGAAAAACAAATGTACAAATGGAGAACAATCCCCCCAAATGAAAGAAGAAACTAACCCGCTGAGTTGGGAGTGGAGGGCGAGTTAGCTTGGCTTCCATGGGCTGACACATTGGTGGCAGTGACAGCCGTTTTGGCAGCATAAATATTGGCTTCCTCTTGAAATTTACCTATGTTCTTCTTGTACCGGATTCGTTTATTTCCAAACCAGTTTGATACCTAGAACAGCAGGAGAGAAAATGAGAGAATTAGCATTTGGATTGCAGAGAAACAGAGGGGTCTCTGAAGGGATGGGGTGGTGTTGGGTTCACAACTGGAATACTCTGACCTTACTTTGTGACTTTCGTAATATTAATTTAAAGTCCAGAAGTAAAATAAGATTCTCAAAAAGAACAATGATTTAATATGGGTTCTCTAAAATCCCACAAGACCACTGTGACAGCAACTCTCCTATGGAAGATTTGCTTGCTGAAGCTAGGACTCTCGATTTAGAACAAGTATTTTCAATTTGCTTATTTCCTAATTCATGACATTTAAATAAGCATATTAGGAGAAGTGTTTGTTCTTTTTTAAAGCAATGCTAAAGCTGACATTGCACAATCAAAATACACAAACCTTTAAAATATCCACATAAATCTATGTCAACATATGGGTACTTCCACACATTCATTTAATTTGAAACTTTTAGAAATTCAATGACCTTAATATGAACTTTGACTCTTTGTTGTATTGTACTATACACGTTATGGATATAATGGCACCCACCATCTTGTACAAAGCTTGGTCTTATGTATAGAAAAAAAATAACTGATGCATACAACTAATTGTTACTTTGAATTCCTGCTTTTAAATGTTAAAGCCAATGAATACAATAAACCTAATTTACTTTCTTTTGTTCGTTTATTTCCTTCCTGTAGCTCACAGTAGATGTCTTGGCTCAAGTTGGTATTCTTCACCATTTATACAAAGACTTCTACCACAAAGGAGTCGGGGATGTATTGATGTTCACCCCACAAGTTCTGCCTCAGGGAGGAATATCTAATAATACCCTATATTTCCTTGTGATTTTGAATTACAGTATTGTGGCTTTTATTTAATTACAAAACAAACTATGAAAACTGATGAGGATGAGCAAGTTGATCACACATTTAACAAATACACCTCATAGATAACTCACACTCAACCTCCCATCAGCAATGACAGATAAAGAAACTGTAAGGTAAAATATTACACTTATTTTTTAATGCATTTACAAAGCTAACACATCTTATTAGGCTAGCTAGCAGTCAAAGGCCTGTATGGCTTATACTATATCAGAAATGCCAAGTCTTTATTACAAAACCAAGCTATACCAGTGCAATATCAGTAAACAAGACAGAAAAAAATTCAATAATAGACTGCTTTATTTGTTTCAAATGAAGAAAAGCAGAGCCAACCCAGAGGAGGAGGGGTGCTCCTAAGAACAACTCAGGACCATGCCACATTGAACTGCACTTTGAATTTCAAATTTTTCCTGATCTAAGTTTCACTGTTCATATGAATCAATCATAATTATCATTATTTATTGATTTCTGTGTGCAACAGGGAAGGAAGAAAAAGGTAGACATGTTTTTACAAAATCAACTGAAAAAAAACAGGGAAAGATGAAGGTAGTTTAAGAGGACCTTCCAGAAAGAAAGGAAATGACCCAGGTCCAATGCTGTCTTGTATGGACAAACAAGAAATAAAGAGGTGTGTGAAGGATGTATTGTGGGAAAGATTTCCTGTTCACATGAGAAGAGATGTGACTGGGAAGGTGTTGGTAGGCTCAGACATTCCCCCACAGTGTCTACATAGTGGCATCATCTATCTCAGATAATATGGAGAATCGGCGTTTCATTAATTAATACTCAACTGTCATAGACTAAAGGCCTAATATGTGTCAAGCACTAGGGAGCATATGGATGTGGTAAACATGAGTCAGGCAAAGCAGAAAGAATAATAGGTTTTGTGGGGAGGGTTTGATTTACATCTCAAGTGTGTTATGTTTCAAGAGCCTATGGGCAGATCCATGACAAAATCCAGTGGGAAGTGAGATACATGAGTTTAGTGTTCCGGGACAAAAGCCCCATCTGGATATTCAAATGGAGTTACATTTGTAGCTGGGAGTGTGTGGAATGGTGCTTTTCAGACTTAAGTATTCACAGATGGCTTATGAAAACAGATTCTGGGACCTATCCTCAAAGATTTGGATATAGGGCAGGTATAAGACTCAAGAGTCTCACAGCTCCCAGGTGATGTGTTATTGCTGCTGCTGCTGCTACTGCCTGAAGACCACACTGTTGTGGAATACTAGTTGAAGATGTGTTGCATTTGTTTACGCTGCAGAATATTTGTTTAATGATGCAAAGATGTGTTGCATTCTTTTATGTTGCTTTTGTTTAAATCTGTAAATCTGTGTTACTTTGCCTTGCTAAAACACCTGATTGGTCTAATAAAGAGCTGAAGTGCCAATAGCTAGGCAAGAGAGGGATAGGTGGAGTTGCCAGGCAGAGAGAATAATTAGAGGAACAAGAAAAGGAAGAAGCTAGAAAAGGAGGAAAGAAGGATACCAGGGGCCAGCCACACAGCCAGCCATGGAGTAAGAAGTAAAGAAAGATATATAATAGAGAAAGGTAAAAGCTCAGAGCCAAAAGGTAGATGGATAATTTAAGAAAAGCAAAGCTAAGGCTGGGCATTCATAAGTGAGAATAAGTCTTCATGTATTTATTTGGGAGCTGGGTGATGGGCCTCCAAAGAGTGAAAAACAAAACAAAACAACTACACCACACTCTGAATAGCACTCACATGGAAGGAGGGTCCTTTGGGGACCCTAGGGAGAAGATAGTCATTAGAAGCATTTCACATGGATTTAGGTATATGAGCCTAATTTTGTTGGGAGTCATGAGAGGAACCAATAGTTTTTTAGTACATGTCAAAAGAAGTTGTGATTGAAAATGGATGATTAAGGCCCACTGACTGGAGCATGTACTGATGAAAGCTAAGAATAGAGGAAGTGAGTAGACTTCAAAAGATGGAGTAGGGCTGGCTCAGGGGAAGAGAGGAAGCCTTAGGATAATAGTACCAAGAAGCTAAGGATGGATAGATAGATCCCATGAGTCTAATGCTAAAACTGGTGGTTGTTAAGCTTCCACTTCATAAAGAAACTTAATACTTCACTAGATCTGAGAAACAGACACAACTTTAATATACATGTTCCAACAAGCCACAACAGGTAAGTGGTATCATGAAAACTCTTCAGAAGTAATAGTGATTTCCCAAGAATCCTACATTGACCCTTGCCAAAAAAAACGAGCTCCCATCCTATTGTTCTACAAATGGTATCTTGTTGTTTCCCACCAGAATTTGTTTGACAACATTGAACAGACTGGCCTGACTATTGTCATTGTTATTGAGGTAGTGGTAGTGGTGATGATGGTGTGTGTGTGTGTGTGTGTGTGTGTGTGTGTGTGTGTGTGTGTGTATGAATATGAGAGAAAGAGAGAGAGAGACAGAGAGACAGGTATGGCCTTAGGATAGGTGGGAGAAAGAGAAAGACATAGTGTATAAATAATTCTTTTGGCCAACGAAGTATTCACCACTTGAGTTTCCATGATGAAGAAGGTAGAGGTTGCTAGAGTAGGCCAGGACCATTAGCTGTGATCACGATTGGCTCCAGAAGTGTTCTTCCTCCTTTCTAGATAAATTTGAAATCTGGAATCCATGGAATGGTTTAACTCTACCTTTGAAGGAGAGGACTAAAGCCTACTGATCTGTGACTTAGTGGTATAGTTCATGCCCTAAAACCATTCCTCAGATACTCCACCAGTAGCAAAGACCATCATCTTCCATATGCCCCTGACTTCTATAGACAAGAGATCTCAATCTAGACAGAAATGATAACATCCCTAGAAAAACACTAGGCTAGGCTACTTAAGTTTGACTACCAGGGCCCTACTTTTCTGTTAATACTGAAAATGACCTTCAGCTAGGTCATAGAAGATACACCAAAGGCCTGGGTTAAAAGGTCTATATGCATTCTGTGTTACCTAAGTGGATCTTTCCAAGGACAGCCACTACTGTAAGGAAGTTTACTTTTCAAATCTAGGGAAGTATATTATTTTTCTTATGCTTTTTTTTATTCTGAGACAATAATACTACTTGCTTTTCTTTTTACATTAACATTGGAGATTCTACAGCTATATAATTTTTTTCATCACATATGTTTCCAAGTCAGTAGGCACCTGTTACAGCTATCGTATGATGGAGGAAAGGGACACTCAGTGACATTTTGTGAAAACCATTCCAATGTAATCAGAGTGGCATGCTAAATTCTTTCTCCCAATCAGTTGGTAGTTGTAGAGTTAGAACATCAAGAGAAAGCATTAGCAATCCTTTCATTCAAACAATTTGATTCACTGACTCTTATTAAAGTTCCTGGGTTGGGAGGAAAACGCCAAGGAATTGCCTAAGTTGGAAGAAACAGCATGGAAGGTTCAGGCACTATGTAATAAACATTATCCATTATGGTGATTTGAAAGAAAATGACCCTCAATGGGAGTGTTACTATTAAGAGGTGTGGCATTGTTAGAGTGGGTATGGCCTTGGAGGGGGAAATGTATTACTGTGGGGGTGGGCATTGAGATCTCCTTTGCTCAATCTACATTCATTGTAGTAGATAGTTCACTTCCTGTTGCCTACAGATCAAGATGTAGAACTCTCAGCTACCTCTCCAGCATTATGTCTGCCTGCATCCCACCATGCTTCCCACTGTGATGACAATGGACTAAACCTTTGAAACTGTAAGCTAACCCAAATTAAATGCTTTCCTTTATAAGAGTTGCTGTGGTGCTGGTGTCTCTTCACAGCAACAGAAACTCTAAGACACCCACCCAGAGGGAGTGTATCCCTCTTCCTGCACTTCTTCCTACGTTTTCTCTTCCTTTGGTTGGTTTCCTTTGGACTTGTCGACTTACCTGGAAACCATTCCACAAGCATTACGAACTTACCTTGTTCTTTTAAGGCTTTCACTGGTGGATCATACAAAACCTGAATGTTCAATAAAAACCTCCATTACCTTGCCATGAGGCTCCATCAGGCCAGACTACAAGCTGGCCCTTCCAGAGGTTACTCACCTGGGAGACTGTGATGCCACATTTCTTGGCTAACTCCTCTTTGGCTTCCTCACTGGGGTAAGGGTTGCTGAGATGGGAATAGAAATATTCATTCAGAATTTCTGTGGCTTGCTTGTTGAAATTCCGTCTCTTCCGCCTTCATAAGGAGAAAGGGAGAAGGATAAGAAAGGCTGTGTTAAATAAACAGAGAAAGATCTACTTCTGGAGGATGCATCTTTGGGGAAAGGGTAAGTTCAAGGAAATTTGCAAAAGGGACTGGATGCCTGAACCACGACGCATGACACTTCTGTAGTTCACGTACACTGGAGAAGAAAACCAAGCATATCTGTACATTCAACCACCTTGGGTTTGAATCCTGGACCAGGTAGGTATCACCTGTGTCACTGTGGTGGTCTCTCCCTAAGGATCGGCTTCTTCAACTGAATGTAAAATGCTCCTAAGTAGTGCACAAGGACCATACAAAAGGCATACTCAGTAAAACATTTGACACCGGACAAATCTCAAGCTCAGGGGTTGCACTCCAAGCCTTTCCTTCATGGGAAGGAATTCAAACTGTTCACTTGTGAGGTGGATGGGGTGATTCCCATTCGAAAATGGCATGGTATTCTAAGTCACTCAGCAGGTATGCTGCGGAGATAGTTCAGGTCTGCCTGGCATCAAACCCAGTCTCTTCCTTCTATACACACTGTCTCCTGGCAGCTACACAAAGGATCTGTAGCCCCGAGTTAAAAATAAGTTAAAAATAAGTTATCATTTTCTCTCTTTTCTATCCCCATGCAGATGCATCCAACAGTTTAAAAAGCCATCTGGGGAAGAGGTAAGAAACTGACTGAGATTAACCCCCTGACTGTCTGACCTCCCTCAACTAGAGAGAGGGGGCATTTCTTCAGCAGGAACAGCTGCTAAATGTTAAAATAAAAGCTCACAGAATTCTCCCTCATACACAGGTTGCCAAAAGGAATAAGACCATTTTTCTTTTCATAAAAGCACTTTACTGCTTGAGAGAGAGAGAGAGAGAAGTAGAGAGAGAGAGAGAGAGAGAGAGAGAGAGAGAGAGAGAGAGAGAGAGAGAGAGAGAGAGAGAGAGAGTGCTAATTGAACAAATTTCAAGGGAGAATCACTTTATTGCTTTCTTACCACTAAGGCCTGTGGATAGCTGGATAGTCTCTTAGAAGACTATGGGCTTTTTGTAAGCCAGGTTCCCCCTCTTTGAAGTGGGTAAATTTTTCAGCTTTAAATTCCCTCTGTTAGCACATTTACCTGCCTTGCTTTTGTCAAAGCTGTTCCTCAAGGGAAAGAATTCCAGAACATCTTTGGTTATGCCAGGACATAGACTTTCCACATTTAGCCAACAGAAAGCACTGGTGGCCTTGCTAGACTGGAAATTCTGCTAATATTGTATTTTTCAGGGTCCCTCTTGGATTAATTAACACAATAAAGTACCTGATTTTACCGGATGAACACCATCTGCCCACAGGTACCAACCACATCTGTCCAGATTATGCCAAGCCCAAGTCACTCTCCCAAATCATGCTGAGTTTCCGGGTCATCCAGCATCAGAAATTGGACAGATTGGATTTAGAAGCCCAAAGACAAAAGAGGCATGTGTGGGAAGTCCTTGCATAAAGGACATTGGAGGAAGGTGGTCAATTGGAGGAAGGTGGCCCAGTGGTTAATGTACCCTCTCTGGGTTTGCCTTTAAAGAACTTCTCATTGTTTTTCTTGCAGAGAGTTGTTTTAGACCTGGTGAACTGGACCTGGAATGCTTTTGTGGCTGGAAGAACCCCAATTCTTCAGCCCATTATTTGCAATTAGCATTACAGTGTAGTTTTTGGGAGTCTTCCAACAGAGTTCAAAGGAAAACTCTCTGGAATGAGTATGTGGTGTAGGGACAGTGCAGACAGCTGTTGCTGGTTCTCGGGGTATCATCATGAAGTGATACTATCGCTAGGTGGTCTCTTCTGCTGGGGTGGACTCACTTAGGTAGCTGTCTTAGTCTGTCTCTGAAATCCCATAATCAGATTTCTTCAGAGCTTTAGGAAAGGTAGTGGAAACAACTTGTATGTGAAGGTAAGGTTGAGAGTCGAGACAACTGGTTTCCTTGCTTTAGTGGTACTGGCTGTGGGCCAACATTTGAGATCTCCAGCCAATCAGAAGCAGTGATCACCAATGGGGGGGGGTTATAGTGTGTAGGCAGTTTGCCTGCACCATGTATATGTACTACCAGAAGAGGGTATCAGATCTCCTGTTACAGATGTTTACAGATTGTTTAATTCTAGAAGTAGTACTGGGATCCAACCTGGATCCTAAGGAAGAGCAGGAAGTATTTTTAATTATTGGGCCATCTCTCTCCACCAGGATCTTGGCTTTTAATGTAAGAAAGCGTGGATGCTCATAGACTATTACAGCATTTTAAAGACAGATGCCTGTCTGGTTGTGGCCCATGGGGAATTTCTTTTTTCTTTTCTAAGAGAACCATGATAATGAAAGAACAGATTCCCTCTTGTTGCATGACTCTCATCTGGTCATGGCCCCAGAGTGCTTATCTTTCACATTGACCCCTTAGTTTCACTCCTGATGTCGCTCACTGCTATTTTTGAATGGTTTAGATGAGCCAGTGTGTATCACAGCGCTGCTGACTAATGATGTCAAGTGGTGTTTTTGAGATGGTGGAATGTTCTATGTCTGTGTTATCCAATACAGTAGTCATAGTGACCCGAGGCTTCCATGCAGCTGATATGTGGCTGGTAGAGCTAAAGAACATTTTTTAAGTTAGAATCCTGATTTTATATTTTAATTCAGAGTCAAATGGCCATAAACTATACATGTACCTTTAGATGGATGTTCCCCAAAACTAGGCTCACACAACCATCATGGAAGAGAGAGTTCAGGAGAGTACAGAAACACTGGATGATCACGAAAGCGACTGTTTGCTTTTCCTCTGTAAGATAGCCATTCTTTACCTTCAAACAAGAACAAATCCCTTTGGACCATATTTCCTCCTCTAGCTGTGCTGGTCTAGTCTGAGGGCCACAGGGGTCAGAAGTGGCAAACTTTAGACTCTTCCAAGTTAGTTCATCCTCAGCAGAATCACTACACCAACCTTCCTAAACCAACACTCTCTCTTCTGATACTACGAAGATATAAAAAGGGTAATATATACTAAAGTTATATATAAATATATCACATCATTATATAAGCTATATTTAGTCATATGGTAAAGATGATAATATTTAAATTTGTTAAATAAGATACATACAATGGGTGGCCTGAGGATTCCTATGAGCACTATACTGAAATTACAGAATGATTATTACGTGCCAGAAACTATATTTATTTTTCATATTACCTTACATGTTCTCATGTACAGAATCATCCCCATTTTATAAATACAAAAACTGAGTTTTGGGGATAATAAGCCACTTGTCCATGATCACATGGGCCATTTACACTGTTCGGCCAGAGGTTGAATCCGGTGGTATTACAGAGTTTATGCAACACTTTCTCACAACCCTTCTCTAAACAACACTGTTACTTAAAAGGAGAGATTCAAAATTTCCCTGGTGCAGTTAAGGTTTTCAGTAGGTCTATTCTACTCTTTGGTTCTCATAGTAAGCTCTTGGGTAGGTAAAGCTACTGAAGCTGAATGAGGATGGTTTATGTTCTTTCTGTTACTCCATTTATTTCACCAACATCCTTCTCTTCTGAAATGCAAGATGTCTTCAGTTTCCTGGATATTTTCTCTTTTGATGGAGTTGGTAGGTGGATGTTATTATGGATAACATGCAGTTCTATGTTTACCTGTAAGGGGTGCCCATGAGACATTACCTATCAGAATGCAGGACCCATATTTATATATCATATTTGCTATTCTAGTAGCTAAAACACCATCTGGTTAATACCAAGAGTCTAATTAGATGCATAAACAACTCTGAATATAGTGTCAGTCTTCTTTTGTTTTACTGACGTCTTTACCTTTGCTTTGGACCTGATATTGGTAACTCAGAACATAGTCTAGGGGTATATCTCTAAGTTATACTAAGGTATAACCAAGTACTATTGGGAAAAAAACCTTTTTAAATTATTGCTTCAAAACTACTAGATGTTTAAGAAGCTCCCCCTTTTAGTCTCTTTCAGAGAAACACAATGTGTAATACTGAATAAACTAACCAAGATGGACAGCACATAGCTTGAGATGATAAATGAATGAATGGAATTTGAAATTCAACTTTGCTGGCATACTTCCATCAATGTGAGGTAAAGAGAAAGGCTATAATCTTAGTTGGAGATATCTGGGCTAAGAGTTCACCTGAGATGACCAGTGAGTGGGACTTTAAGGTCCCTGACTCTGCTGTGTATGATGCCTTCTCCTTCAAGTGACTGTGATGGTGACCACAATGGGGTCTCACCTTGTGACTATGTCAAACTTTAACAAGGAGAGTTTGGCTTGCAGGCCACCAGAAAGAAAGTAAGCGGTCAGACTGTGAAATGCTTCTAGACAGGGGTGGCCTCCACCAACCAAAGCTCTCTAAATACCACAGAGAACAGGGAGTTTATTGCATGTGAGTATCATATGTAGCCACAGCCTCTGTAGATACCTTGGTGGAAGCTTTTGTGAGGACCTAGCTGAGTTATGCCCAAACTATAGGCCAACAGGAACTGCAAGGTAATAAATGTGTACAGTTTTAAGCTGCTAAATGTGTGGTAATCTGGACACAGCCATTGAAAGTTAATAGGAGGCATGTCCCACCATAAAGGAGAGTAACAGTCATTTCTACACACTTATTAGATCACAAAGACTAATCCTATTACTGAATCAAGTCCTTTTTGTATTCCATTTGTCTTCCATGAAATCTTATTTCATGAGGCCCTGCCCATCAGATGCACGGTTTGGGGGTGTACGATGGGGGACACATGAAAACCCATATTGAGTGCTGAATCTCTCTCTCATGGGAGTTGGTTTAGCTCTCTCCTACAATTACTGGTAGGAGACTAGGTAGTTCCCTGACCAGGAAGTTTGGGCAGGCATTGATTTGAGAGCTGGGAAAGTCATTTGTTTCACCCTGGGCCAGCATTTGGGGTGACATTTTTCTGACAAATATAGCCATACAAAGAGATAAGACCACCATTCACTATAGGGTGGCTGCTTCTGTTTTGAATTTTGGTTAAGATGTGGTGATTTGAAGGTTTCTTACTCAAGTAAGAAAGAGATCCTGTGTTAGAGTGACTGCCCTTCTGGTTCTAATTGGTCCGAGTCCAGTGGAAAGAAAAGAAGCGTATACAAACACATCTAGTCCTGTGTCCTTTTAGGATCTAAATTTCAAGTGGGCGCAATGAGAGGGAAGCAAAGAGATATCCATATGGACAATGGTTCTGTTTTGATCATTTCTCCCCTTTCTCTCTTAAACAACAACAACAACAAAATAAAAACAAGCAAACAAAAAACCAGTCTGGGCCCAACCTTTCTTTCCCTTTCTTCTTCTCTTTCTTTCTTTTTCTAGCCCTGCCCCTCCACAGGCTCTACCAAGGTAAATAGCAACCACAGCATTTTAACTAAGGAAGTTACCATGGGGATGTAAGCAACAGACGAAGCGTGGTCAACAAGACAGAAGCCACCAGTCGCTCACATTGTGAGAATGGCTGTCTTAGAGGAAGCAGACTAGCAGCAGGCCACTGGGCAAGAGAGACAGAGGGCACTGCTGCGGGAGGTTGATTTTTTGCCTACTATTATATCCCTACACCTGGGCAGGAAGCATTCCTTTTATTTATTTATTCATTGTTTGTTTTTTTTTTTTTTTTTGGTTTTGGTTTTTCGAGACAGGGTTTCTTTGTATTGCTTTGGAGCCTGTCCTGGCATTCACTCTGTAGACCAGGATGGCCTCGAACTCACAGAGAACTGCCTGCCTCTGCCTCCCAAGTGCTGGGATTAAAGGTGTGCACCACCAACACCCAGCTATTTTTTAAGACTTAAATTTAATTTTGAGTATATGCATATAGATGTCTGACTATAGTGTCTGTGTGCCTGTGGCAGTCAGAAGAGGGTTCTAGTTCCCCTGCAGCTTATGTTACGGTGGTTACAAACTGCCCTTGATGTGCTTGCTGGGAACTGAACTCAGATCCTCTGCTGGGGCAGCTTGTGATCTTAATTGCCAAGCCATCTCTTCTGCCTCATCCCCCTTTTACCTTCTCTTGACTGTGGGATTCTATTAACCGAGAGGTGTATCTTGCAGGCTGGCATTCTTATCTCATGCAATCCAAAAACACAATGAGAGGGGGGAGGTGGGAGAAGATGCTGGGGACTTTTAAATAGGTCCATAGACCACAAAAGACTAGCACTGCGAAGATAGAGAAAACGCAGGTCGGAGAGCTGAATAATGCATGATATCAGAGAGGAAAGCAATCCTGGAATAGCCATGAATCTTTCAGTCTGATTCAAAAGGAACAAAACCATATACATCGTAAAATAGTGTGCTGACCATGACATCCTAACATTCGGTAATAAAAGTCTTACCCTGGGAATGTTTTCAGAAATTGTACACTACAAAAGATGACTAATTCGAGATGAATTGTGGATTATATCTACACTATAAGAAACATTTGCTAGGCCAATTGCCAAAATCTTCTTCTAGATAAAGATAAAATCTGATTATCACTCTCTCTGAGGTTTGAGAAGCGAAGCCAAGGCCTCAAGTAAATTCACTTGTCTTTATAGTAGAAGAATTAAGAGTTAGTCTTTTGTTTTCAGTTCTCAATACTGCTTTTTAAAGGACCATTCTAGCCTCATTTTTGTCAAACGAATCTTTTGAATTCATAAGACAGGTCATGAGCATCACCGGAGTCAGATAGAAAGCATCAAACCAAGCAACGGAGCCCGTATCAAGCTACCTTCTTGCCTCTCTATGCTCAGAGAAGCATGTGGTGTTCAACTTTGGACTTCTTAAGCAGCCCACAGTATAGTGCATGGCAATCTACTAAGAAATATTTCTTAAATTCGATGGAGTACACTCTCTGTCTCTACGCTATAGGAAAGCCAGTTTTCAAGCACTTAGATCCAGCCCTCTTGGAGGAAGTATCACCATGGTCTTCTGGTATAATGACAATAAGCATATAGCTATGATCTGTCCAAACAGTCCTGTGTAAACAACAACAACAAAAACAAAAATCCTGCCTAGCCTCTCATTGTCACCAGTGCTGCTCACCAAGAGTGGAACAGCAACAGCAATAAGCATTATCTCTTGCCATCATGAATTTTTTCCCAGCACTATATGAAACCAGTGGTCTATCCTGTCTCCCAGCCTGTGTTCCTCAGACCTTAGAACTGCACTCAGAAGAGTGTTTGGCTCAGCATCCAATGTTGTAGAGCTTCAGAGAGGACCAACTTATGACCCTCTACTCTGTTGCATTGTGTTTCTCCTTAAAGGTGCTCCTGGTAACCTTTCGAGACAATCCAGAGACTCACCTCGCATCCAGAAACCGAGAGCGCAGGATCATGACCGCCTCGCATGTGCTCTGCTTAAGCTGCATCTGGATGGAGCTGAACTTGCGGTGGATGATGCTGACCATCCGCTCGATCTCCTTCGGGGAGATGGGCCTGGTCCGGCTTTGCTCTCGCAGGAGGTTCATCACATGGGTGGTGAACTCATTGCACGCCTGCGTGGCAACAGAGTGAACATGGGTGAGCTGAAGTTCATGTATTAGCAAGCAGAGTTCACCATATGTGACTGTGGTGCTTTTCTAAAGACTTGTACAAATGAAGAAAGCTAGAAGATTTTGTGGCATTTTATCAAATTTGATAGCTAGAATAAACGATTGTCTGGAAACTCCTTTTCTTCCCAGTGACTCTAGCTCTACATTTTGGCTCTGGCTGCAACTTCTTAAGGGAAAAATCAAGTTCTGAATCATTTTTCCTATGATTTTATGACAGTGAAAGGGGTGATACTTAACATCCTTCCCGGCCTTTTGCCCCTATGTGAAGAGCCAAGAGACTTGAGGTCAAATACATCACAAGCTTTCTCTGCCTTACTCATTATCACCAACATGGTAGAACTTCCAAATATTTGATTTTGGGACATGTAAACAGTCAAGAGTTTAAGTAGAAGCACAGCATCAAAAGCTCTGGCAAGTCTTGCCAGAGATTTCTTATTAGCTGACTTTGAGTTTCATCTGAAGAAGCCACACTGCCCCCGTGCCTGGTCTACAATGCAGGGGACTCTATCCCCATGAAGCTTATAAACCGAGCATCCAATGTGATTTAGAGATTCTAGCAAACACCCCTGTAGGAGTAGACAGCCATGGGAGTCAAAGTGGAAATCTAACTTCTCTACTTCTTATTTTCCAGTCGGAAAACTGTGCTCCAAAGTGATGAACAGATTTTCCCAAAAGCACCCGGGAGGCATGAAAGGACCAAAGTGTGACCCAAATGCCTGCTATCATTTATGGGCCTGGGAATTTGGAGCCTAAACTCACTCTTTGAGAAACCACGACCTTCTCTTTCAGTCACTAATACTTAAGATCCATAGTCTAGTTTCATTAGCTGAACACTCAATAAAATATCTATTCGCCGATTAACTCGCAGCAATGCTGTAAAACTGTATTAGATTTGTAATGAAAAGAGCAAGATGGCACTTTGAGAACTTCAAACTCAGGACTCAAAGGACTCCAAGTGTAATATGAAGAGCAGAAACATGCTTGTTACTAACAACATTGCATTACTGTGTTTTTTATACCAGAAAGCTCTTCATATGTATCAGTAATGCGGTACCAATAGCAAGAGCCCACACTCAATACCAATTCAAGTATTCTCTGAGGTTGGATGACCAAAGAAACATGGGCAGAGCCATTCACAGGGTGGAGTCTGAACGGCACAGTGGGAGACCTGCTTTGAACCCTGCCCCTATGAATACTTATGTAAATTCTTGCATTATCAAAAGGCACATCTTATCCACCTGGGAGATTTAATTATTCTTCAACCCTCTAACACATTAAATGGTACCCATGTTTTTGTGCATAGAGACTTAAATGGAGAGGCGATCATTTGTATGGACAAGGAAATGGACTGAGAGAGAGATTGCCTGGGTCTCTGCCTGCAGGACTTACTCAATAGTGGTATTGGGGAAGCTCTTTAATGTATCTGTGTTTCTTTCCCTTTGTGAGCTGGTATGATAATCCCCTACCTACCTAAGAAGGTGCAGCAGAGACCTGCAGAGTTACTACGTGTGCAATGCATACATGGGCCAATGAATCTGTGTCTTCATTATGGCTTCAAAACATAGGTAACTTAGGGGCTGGAGAGATCACTCAGAAGCTAAGAATATTTGCTGCTTGTAGATGATCTAGGTTTAGTTTTTCAGCACCCACATGGCAGCTCACAACCATCTGTACTGCAGTTCCAGGGGATCTGAGACACTTTTCTGTCCTTCTTGGGCAAGGCATACGTGTGGTGCACTTACAAACATTCAGGTAAAACATTTACATATAAAATTAAGTAAGTAAATACAGAGGTAACTTAGAAAATCGCCATAATATCCTGATAGAGAAAACTTCTGGAGGCTCCATTTCTGTCTTGTTAAAAATAAATGTGACAATAAATACCCCCTTTATACTCCGTAGGAATATGCTGAAGAAAAAAGCCAAAAATGAGTCTATATAGCATACTCCATTCAGAAAAGTGTTATCAAGACTGGATTTGTTACAACCTTATTCCCAAGCCAAACTCAGGCTTTGGAACTGTACCACAAAGACAGGGAATTAAAACCTGGCAGTGAGCTAGCAGGAATTCCTAGCCCCCGCAACCCCCTGTGACACTGAGTAGAATGTGGGTTAGGTTCTTAGCAAGCCCACAGCCATCTTTCTCAGGAAACAAAGCAATCTGCTGGGCTGCAGTATCCCCACCTCTAGGGGACTGGTAGGGAGCAGGAGCTGCAGGCTGGGAGGTTTTGTCAAAAACGTAACAGTTCTCAGCTGGGAAGCCACAGTGCTTGGCAAATAATAATGTGTTCCATTACAGCAAATCAAAATATTCACAATATCTGGTGTTTAGTTGGGACATTTTATCCCAGGGCCTTTTATGTTTTGCAATGAACAGACAGGAGTCCTTCCACCCTCTGCTGAGGTGGAGCAAAGCAGCCACTGGACAGCTGGGAGAACACACAGCCGAGGTTTGATGATTCTGAGCTTGTCTTAGATGACAGGTCATAATGGTCCACATTCTTCTAGGACCTGAACTGTCTACAACAACCCCTAGTTCCCCACCATGACAATGTCAGAAGCTGGGCTGCTACTACTAAGTCAAGTGCTCACTCTGTGGCAGTGGAGTATATATTTGAGGATAAAACAAAATAGAATCCTCAAGGTTCAGTGGACTCTATTATGGACTATTATAGGGAACCATGATGAAGAGTTTGAGCCACTTTGTGGGGCAGGGAGAACTCTAGAAAGATCTCCCAAGTAGGCTGCCCAAGAGCATCTGGTGCCCCAACAAATTAAGGAGAGGCCCACGTAGGGAACCTCAAAAGGTCTAGATTTTGGCTGGCATCCTGCATGTTATACAATCCATCTTCTTCCCGTCTCCTTCTAACTGAGTGTGGTGCCAGTCTCACTCACAAAAGGTAAGAGGAGCCCAAGAGCTCCCTTAGTTGTGAACTGAGTTACTCCACCCCGCAGCACTGGTGATTTAGACTCCAATGACTTTGTTTATAAAAGATAAAAAAACTCCTCAAAGCAACAAGAGGGTCATTTTTATAAACAGCACTTGGAATAAGATTCATTGTTTCTGATACCATGGTTTTTAAATGTGAATACGTCAGCTTTTAACTGCCTTAGCCACCAACATGATCTGCTACAGAAGTCTTTTATCATTGTCATTTAATAATGATGAAAGTTGCTAGAAGCTTCTTTATTTAATAACCTTGGGATAAAATAGTAGCTCGTTTGGTTGGGTTTATATGGAGGGCTGGGGGTGAGGGAAGAGGTGGTAGTCAATTATCGTGTGGTTATCTGTTATCAATATACAAAGAACAAAACAAAGACAGAAAAAATGACGGTAACAACTATGAACATGGAAAGTGACATTTTACTTGACTAAGGTTCCCTACTTTTAACAAAGCCCCCATGAGGAACGGTTGCAGAAAAATGAAGAAGATGGATCTCTCAAACATACCAGCTAAAAGGTTAACAGCGCCATCGCCTCACAAGCAGCTATTTATTATAATTAACAAACTAATTTTAATAAAGTGTTAAGCATCCAAAATGTGTTAAGCAGAATTCACTTCTACCCAGAAACTGCCCACATAAATAAGGAGACATGATGCTTCACTTCCTAATTCTAATAAATACACAAGACAAGTCGACCACTGCTACGTTTGCATAATTTGCTGCATACTCGTGGGGCTTTCCCCGAAGCTCTTCACTTCCAACATCTCTATGATTTAGAATAGGCAGGAATCCATGAGAAATTTCTAGAGAGAACATTTATATCCCTAGCCTGGTGCCAGTAAGTCCAGCCCAGGGAGGCAAAAGACACGCTTGTTATTCTTCATTGACCCATGTCTATACTTCCTTTTTCCTAAATGAAGACAGGCCTAGTTTTAGTAAGAGTCAAAACAGGGCTCCAGGACAACCTCAGTTCATCACTGGATGTGTGACCTCAGACACACATCTAACCCTTTCATCTCAACTTCCTCACCTGCATTAAATGGTCCAATGCATCCAACAACAAAATGGCGCGGAAGAGCAAGTGCGATTACATTGGCCCTGATGTTTTGCAACAGTAAGTATGCTATTGAGATGGACTACTGCTGCCCGAGTGTCACCCATTTTGGATGAGGATGGAAGAGGGACAGGGGGTATCAATGGAGAAATCAATTCTGTGCTGTCTGCATCCCAAGCTAACAATAAAGCCATCTTTCAACACCTCCAACTCTAACACACATTGCAGTTGTGTGATTAAAGGAAGCTGTATTCTGAGTTCCTTTCATGCCTTGCTTATCTGACATGAATTAACTTAGATGTCAGGTCTAGGCAGGTTTCTAGGCAGAGGCCAGGCTTCCTGGGGAAGGAAAAGTAAGAATAGCACAAATGAGAGAAACCAAGAGGCCGTCCAGGGACCTTTATAAGAAGAGTCTGCATGTGCATCTTCTGAAGTTATCTCACTAAATTAGGGCAGAGTCCAGATTCAGGATGGCACAGGTGGGGAAAAGCACCGCGATTAGGCAGGATTTATCTCAGACTCCCCTGGGACCTGAGGCAAGTCTCCATGAGCCAACATTGTGTCAAGAACATTTGTTCTTTTCCAAGAAGGTACAGGGCAATGACTCACAGTTCTTAACATGCTGACTTTTATTTTCCTTCCTTCAGCATTCAACGACACCTGTCTGATGGGTGAATTTCAGTATGCTTAACGTAAGGAGGCACAGCATTCCCCCTGCATAAAAGAGTTGACTTCGTGAGTACCCTCCATTTCAAAGGTGGACGGGAGTGCAATAATGAAATTTTCTCCACTTTAAATTTTAAAATGTCCATTTCTATTTTAAAATTTAAATTTTCTATTAAGTTTGCACTTTCCACCTATCTAGGTTGCCATAAGTTGAGTGGTTTTTTTTTCCTTATCTGGTTCATAAAAATAGTAAAAGAAAATCTAATTCAAGGGAAAAATCATATAGAACATGGGTGCAGTATAGAATCCAATGGTGACAACAAATATATTTGTTGGCTAAATAAGTGAATGAAAGTCAGACAATAAAGGACTCCTGATAGAGCACTATTGTTCACAATGGCTGGAAAAACAGCACTGATTCTAAATGTCTAAGGGACAGAAGGGGCTTTCCCTCAAAGGAGGTAGCTTTGTCATCATCAGGATACCTTATCTCTGTGCTTTGTGCCTTAAAGTCATTGTATTCTTTCAATCAGGGGATATCCATCATAAATCTACAGTTCTCTATCAAATGCCTAAGCCTTCAGGATACAGTAATGCGGGTCCACGACACTGTCAAAGAATGCTTGGGCTGGAGTTGAGGTTGGTATGACTCTAGGATGCCTCCTAAGATGACCTACTATCTCTGCACATTTGACTCAGCTGATCCCAGAGTGGAAAGGTCAGGTTCAAGTGTCCCTTCCCATGCCATGCATATTTCTTAATGTCTTCATTTACAATATCATGTTGTTTAGTGTCTTGCCCAGTGTAAGGCTTAGGCTTTCAATAGTTGAGACCAGGGTCTTGGTGGGATTCAAGACTCTAAGGCGATAAGCCCTGACCTCTGGGAAAGGCCAAACCAAGGAAGATTTGCAAGCTGTGGGCTGCAGTATTTTCTGCCCTTCCTTGGCCAAGGGCTACCTTGAGGCCCATTCTTCAGGGGTGTGGTTACCTGCTCATACTTCTCCAGCTCCGTGTGGTAGATTTGTCTGATCTGTGACAGTTTGGCTCTGTAGTCAGAATGCTCCACCGAGTTGTCTGAACCTGCACCCCCGGAAGCTGCTGCCGCCGCCGCCGCTGCTGCTGAGCCCCCTCCCTTCTCGGGCCCTGCCACCCCCTCTGCTAACAGCATGTTGTCCAGTCGCATCAGCTGGGGGTCTGTGGGCTCCTCTTCTTGGGCTCCCCGAATACTCAAAACTACAGAGAAAGAAAAAAGGGAAAAGTATTAACGACAACGCAGGGGAAACATCTAACAAGCACGAAACACAAGAACCCAACTATGTTCCTCTGCTAAATTAGCTTCTAGATTACGTGCCCTATGGCATGCGGAGAACTGAGGAAGGGCAAGACAAGAACAGAGAGGGTGAGACTGTGGAAGGAGACTCACTTTGCTCCAAAGAAACTCTACTTAGATGACGTACTTAGAGTAGAAGAATGGTGGAGTTGGGACCAGGAGGAGGGGGGTGGGAAGTCAGTGTGTTATATGTGGAGTTTTACTTGGGGAAGATGAAAGGAGTTCCTGGAAACCCAGCACTGTGGTCACATCTATAATCCCAGCATTCAGCTAGTGGAGCCAGGAGAATCAGAAGTTCAAGGTGGTCAACAACATCATCATCATCATCATCATCATCATCACCACCCCCGTGTGTGTGTGTGTGTGTGTGTGTGTGTGTGTGTGTGTGTGTGTGTGTGTGTGTGTGTGTTACAAGTCACCCTGGGCCATATGAGGTCTTGTCTCTACCCTCCCGCCAAAGAGAGAGATGATGGTGATGTTCACAACCATGTGAATCTACTTAATGCCATCAAACTGAGCACTACATTTTTATGCAAAAAAGGGCATTTTTTCATTTCTTACATTAGAGTTCTCTTTGTGGCTTTTACTCTGTGACTTTCTTTGTAAAACTGGATTAACCTATATTTTCATTGCCAAAATAACTTCCACAAGGCCAATCCAGCTCATGCAATTAAATCCTGAAACCTTTTCCGTGGTCTAGCTGAAAGAGTGAAGATTAGTCTAGAAAAATGGGAACACTAATTAATCCCAGTTTAGGGGCATGCTGGTTTTAAAGCTGAGATCCTTCTGTTCTGGATGTTAAGCGCTCTGTTCTGTGCAAAGCAAGGGTGTGGTCTTTGTAACGAGATGTTTTCACAGATTCAGCAACTCTGGGGTTCTGGTAGGATGGAGTTTCAGATAGAAATCTGGCTACTTTTTAAGGAAACAGCACAACTTTGTGGGTGGGGTGACTTAGACTGAAGGGGATGGAGAGATTCAGCGGAGTGGCTCATTGGAAATGCTTCTGTACCCCCTGCACATCATCTGCTGTCACATAAACAAACCACTCAACCAAATCCAGTTGGGGCTCCAGCAGCCAAGCCTTCGTGGAAAGACAACATTAAGACTGTTTCCAATTTTGAGAAAAGCCAAAGAGAATTCTGGAAAAAGCAGAAAAGGAGGGAAGGACTTAGAAGATGTGAAGAGGGCCACTCTGTGGACCTTGCCTAGGGATGAAGGAGATGGGATCTAAGTTCCAGTGGATGGACAAGGACTACTAGAATCAAGAGCTGTTTGGGGTTACCAAGAACTTCCTGTCTCCTAGACAGCCCTCCTCACTCCAGGGGCTGTGATGGGGAAGACAGGAATGACCTCAACATATGGAGACGCAGCTAAAGCCATCCCTTTACAAGTAATGCCCGTATCACTGCTGGCTGTGCCCACGTGCTCCTGGATTTCAGAACTTTCAAGACGTACCATCCTTCATTCCAAAGGAAATCCCAATTCCTGTTCCAGAAGAAACACTACAGCATGGCTTTCATCAAACACAGGACAGTAGGAGGAAGGACACCAGGTAGCGGCGAAGATTACAAAAGGTACTTCTTGATGAAGTACAAAAGAGAAGAAGAAAGGAAGGAAAGATGTAGAGGAGAAAAGAAACCTGTTGGCATGCACACTGCAACACTTGGGTACCCATTAGTTTTCCCCCTTTACACCAAAAGTGTTCTTCCACGTACAAGTCAAGTTGCTACAGTGGGGTAGCATATGGTGAAATGATTGTAGTGGGATACTTTGAGGGTCACCCTCAATGAACTCTCATTCGGGTGGGCTCAAGCGTTTCTATAGAAACTGTCCCGTTGGCTGGCTATTGACAACAGAGCCGGGTTCTTCTGTGTTTTGAACATTTTTACTCAGATCTTCAAAGTCCTCCGAAGAACTCTACACTAACAAAGGTTCTTTAAGATAGTGACGGAATGAGGACACTTCTTCCTGAGTGGCAGGCTCCAAAGACACTGAGCAGAATCGATCCTTCCATATCGGGCCTCAAAGTCCAGCCCCCACCCCTTTCATGAAGGTATGAAGGCATCATTTAGAGGGTGTCTGGGTATGTTTCTTTGCCTGGTGAATTTTAATTATTTTATAAGCCATTCAAAATTTTAAAAAAGAAATTACTTCTGAGCTATAAAAACACAAATACATTGTTTTAGATTGATAATGTAAGATATTTTCCCTAAGGCAATTTTCTTTGTTTAAAACATACTTTATTTATTTTTAGTTTTTTATGTGCATTGGTGTGTTGCCTGTATGTATGTCTGTGTAAGGGTGTTGGGTCTCTTAGAACTGGAGTTACAGACAACTGTGAACCACGCTGTGGGTACTGTGAATTGAACCCGGGTACTCTGGAAGAGTACCCATGTTCTTAGCTCCTGAGCCACCTCTCCGGCCATCTAGGGCAATATTCTCACCCTTATTCATTCACTCTTTCATTCGTTCAACATAGATCTTACTATAGACCCATGGCTGGCCTCAAGCTCATAAAGCCCCCGTTTGGTCTCCACTGCATGCTGGGATTGCAAACATATCCCACTCTAGCCAGCTCCAAATCCAGTCTTCTGACTCTGATGTCAAACACATTCCTTCAGAAGAGGCCAAAGCAAACTCCCAGGGCTAAAATATTTCCCACGATGCTAAAGCTGGTAACATTTGGCCAGGTGGTAATATGTCCAAGGGCATTCTCCTGGGACTCTGTAGCCTATGACCCTTGCACATGGTCCATCACTAGAGACGATAGCTGTTCTCATCAACAGCAGTACAGTCAGTCAGCACCTCCCCTCCCAGGCTCTGCCTGCCCAAAGCAATGTCAGGTACTCCCCCCTCCTATAGAGCTGATGCTGAAGATGGCCTCCTAAACTCCCAACTCGTCCTCCAGCAAAGCCAGTTGTGAGAGACTGACATCCACAGATCATGTGGGTGACCACGAGCAGGCACACACTGTTGGTTCCTGGATGCTCGATACCCCCTGAGACTAATCTCTCTTCCTACCCCTCTGGATTTCAGTCATGCCCCTGCCGCAGTGCTGTTAAACAACCAAGCTCATCCTCATAAACTCTCCTCAAGCTAATGCATATCTTGCTTGCCTGTGAAAGTTTAAGTATTTTAAATAAGATAAGGATGGAACTTCCTAAGGCTGTTGCGGGAGATGCAGAAGATGACAGTGCTAAGACTATCCAGAGTGGGAGTTCCAGGCAGACGGCGCTGGGGCACACTGATTCCTGTATGGGGAATGAAGATTTGCCTGGGAGTGCGGGATGGGGTGGGCAACGATAAAAGTGCTTAATTTGTACATCACAAATGCTTTAAACAAATAGTCTTTCAAAGGACATTTGGATTTGCTAGAAATATATAAATGGGTTCCACCAGAAATTTGAAAATAAATGAATGAAAAGATGGAGAAAAAAAAACAAAAGCCCAGAAGGACCCACACATACATTGTGTCTTCTAAATTATGCTCTAATAATGAAAATAGGCAATGCTGAAATATGTGTAAGAACTAAATACAAATAGGGGACACTCCTGTGCTGCACCACAGGATGGTTCTGGTCTGGGAGGCCTTACTCTGCATATGCACATTTGGAGAAGGCAAGGAATCTTGCAGGTCCATATTTCTTCCTAGAACAAGATTTCAAGACACCACTATAAAAACAGGTATTGGGATTCACTGACCCGGAAACTGTTCTGCTAGTCAGTTAAAAAAAATCGCACCAGCATTAAATAAATAAATGAAACGGTTGATATGGCTAACAGAAGTGATGTTTCCTATTTATGGCTTGAAGTCAGTACTCTGGTGAGTTGGAGACAAAATGATTATTTAAAAGCTCCTTTTTATTTCTCTAGTACCATGCAAGACTCAAATGAACCTTTCACTGGGACACCAGAGATGTTAACACTCGTCCTCCAAGATCCAATTTCAACCAGCCGAGCTGTTACCTAATCCAGCAGCCATCACATATGATCAGGTTCCTGCCTCCCTGATGGGTGCCCTGCATCCCCTCCTTCTCCCTCCCAACAGCCTTCCCTGGACCGGGCTTTAAAGGGCTCTGTGCCTGTGCACGCTGCTGATACAGCGTTCTAACCGCCCCACTCTGCACACAGCATCAAAATATTTAACCCTGCTAGGTAATCATTCCTAAAGGAGGAGTTTCCTACTCACAAATCACCCCCTCCCATCCCAATCAAGATGGGGAATCACCACAGGTAAGTGATTTATGCAGAAGTTGTCACAGCCCTTAGAAAACCCCTGAAGTCACATTGGCATAGCTGCCATCACCTGCCCTGGGGTTAATCCAGTGCTAAAACTCCAGAGATAAGGAGATTGTCACAGCCTGGTGAGGAGCAGCTCTCACAACTGGCCTCCTGCTGTTGCTGTTCAATCTTTATTTATTTTCTTCACACAAGGAGAAAAATAAACCAAACCCAAAGGCACATTCAAGAGAGGGTTGTGTGAAAAGGACTGTTTTGTCCTTGGCTGAGTGATGTTGGTCCAGAGCCACTCCCATCTGCAACCCACTAGAGGGCACTCTCTCCCCGCCAAGGACTTGTTCACAGGAGGGTCCACCAGCCACCAATGTCTCCTGTAGAGCTGGGGAGATGGATCTCTTGGATTCAAGCTCCCAAAGGTAGGCAGGAAGGGAGGAGGACATATTTGCAGAGGGCATTGTTTCAGGACACGGGGTGAACTTGAGAGTCGCCCAACTGAGCGAGAAGAGACAACTGGAGAAGATGCTGTACGAACATGTGGCTTAGGAAAGGCTCAGGGGAACCTTCCTTGGGGTTTCAAGCCACTGAGGCAGAAGCTAAGTTTTACAGTCCCCAGAAAAGAGTAAGTGTCACTGCCTTTTCCAAGCCATTTTGCCACCCCGAAGCC